CCTCTGCTTCCATCCGCCCCCCCTCCTTGGATCCTCATACTTGTTCTACAGTAATGGTTTTATACAATATTTGTCCTTGTGGGACTGAGTTAGTTCACTCAGCATAATGCTCTCCAGTCCCTCCCAAGTTAGGTAATAATTTACAAAATCTTTGCTCCTGCTTGCTGTATACATTTATAAGGTGAAATCTTATTTTGGTTTTGTGTAAACTAATATAGTCTGTTTTATCCATGTCATTACTATGATAGGTTTGGGATAGTTTGTTGTTTTTTTTCTTTTTTAACTTCTTACCTTGTGTTTAACAGGTCCTTGGTCTGTGAACCTTGGATGAGGAGCTCACTGCTCCAGAAGAGGAAAGGGGCAGCTCACTCCACCTGAATTTCTCAGGCCCCTGGGCTTACAGCTGAGTGCAAGAACTATGTTCTGCAAGTTGTAGGGCACTGACCAATCCCTGTAGCCTGAATAGGAAGTGGTCACATACCGAACACCAGTCAGATTTACTTGTCAAAAGTGTTCCATTGAAGTCAGCGGTAATGGTAACGGGAGACAGATCTGAGAATGGAGGCAGGATAGGCACAGGATCAAATTATTTTACTTATTAAATGTTGCTTCCAGAATGTTGATTGTGGATTCAGGTAAAGTAAAATCCTTGGCAACTTCAGTCACTTCTCTGTTCATCATATTTTTCTTACTGTTCCAGTTGTAAAGGTTTTTTAAAACTTCCTTATGTTCAGTTGTAATCCAAATTGAATGTTGTAGTCTTTGATCCATAGTAAGTGTTTCAAGGTCTTTTGTCTTTTAGCAAGCAAGATTTTATCATTGCACTTATGGTTGTTAATAGATCTCCCTTTAATCCTTATACTTTAAATAATCCCGCTTCTGGTATTATTTGCTAAACATACAGATTGAATCCATATGATGGAGAAATGTAGCCTCACATAAAACATTCTTGACTTTAAACCTTGCAACATCCCCCTGTGAAGGCTATAATCTGCCATGATATTTGTGTGCCAGATTATTTGATAATTTTTTTTAGTGATACA